AACCCGCCACCTTAGGTGTACGTGGCTGGCGCCTTAGCCGCTTGAGCCATAGGCGCCGAGCCTTTATTTGTAATCCTTATAAGGTAGAGCAACATAATGCAAAGAGTACAAGAACATTTAGATTTCAGGCTCACATCTAATCATGGTAAACCATCCACATGAACTAAATGAGTGAATTATTCTTTTTGTACCTACTTTTACTTTTTATGGAGATGACCCTAATTATTTTAAATTACTAAAAGTTAATATTTACTAAAAATATGCCAGGATCAGTGCTAAATACTTTAAATGCTTCATCTCATTTAACAGTCACCAACAACTCTAAAATAAGTTATAAAATTGCTATAACTCTCAATTTAGAAATGAGAAAACTGAGGCTCAGAGAAATCAAGCAAATTGGTTGAGTGGCATACCCAGAACATAATCAGGTTTGTGTGATCCCACAGTCAATTAATCTTAACTGTTAAGCTATAAGTTACAAGAATTTTTTTTCCCAAGACTCTCTGCTGTCAATAAATGACGATTTTTCAGACAGGTAACTGTAAAGCAAAGAATGCCTATGTAATTCAGTAACTACCGGTGGAAGCTAAATTATAGCCAATCAAACAGCTCCCCCTGCCAGCTAGCTCATGGAACTACAACTTGAGGAACCATGGTACCTTACTGAGAACTGCCAATACATGTTAATAAATTCCCTATTCTCAACAGATCCTATGTTTCTGGAGGGTAATGAGGAAACAAACAAAAACAAATTTGTATATAAAATCCTCTTCAAGGACTTCTTGGGGGCATATTTTTGGAAAAGTCAAGTCCCTGAGAGTTGAAGAGATACAACCTGAGAACATGTTACATGCAAAATGTTTCTCTTACATAAATAACAGGTTCAGATCATAACAGTTCTGAACTGGCTGTACTCTAAAGAGGAAAGGAAAGAGTAGCAAATTATCTTAGCAGTGACACATGACAAAGATCCTGACAGTTAACTGGAAAATATTTCAAGAGTTAACTGGAAAATATTTCGAGTTTGTACAGTTCTGAAGTTTCTCAACTTCTTTATAGAGTGCAGGTAGTCCCCACACCCACACTGTAAAGCTCCAAGTATATATACTTCTACTCCATGTGTATGTTTTTCTTGCATCTTTCCTCCCATACAAAGGCTTGGTTTTTCCTTACAGAGAGTTGAAAATAAACTATACAAAATTTTTAAATTCTTGAGATGATTATACCTTCTCATAGTTCAAAAAGTATAAAAAACAACAACATAAAATACATTCCTTCTCCTTACCTTTATAGGTAACAGCTGTTACTTGTGAAAACCGAAATCACTGGCAGGCAGCAATGCCTTAACTGTTTGTGTTAAATGGGCTACAACGGCCTCTTCCATCCCTGTTAAGAAGGCTGTCTTGATCACTTTCCCATGACACTTGCTCTTTTAGTTTGATGGGACCTAATAAAGACTGTTACTCTGTGTTTCACCATCTTGGTTCACTAACAGAAAGAGCACAAGCAACTAGGAAATTAGCTCTCACAGCTATGCACTTAAGGACCACCCATCTGTGACTCTAAAAGTATTAACTATTTTTAAAAGAGATACTCTGCTGCTTAGGCTGGAGTGCAGTGGCACAATCCTAGCCTGCAACCTGAAACTCTTAGGCCAAAGTGATCCTTCTGCCTCTCAGCCTCCTTAGTTGCTGGGATTGTAAGTGGGAGCCACTTTGCAGTTAAAAGCACTAATTTACTAAGTATATTCTAAGCATCTATTCTGTAGTAGGTACTAAAAAGCTAAAAAGTACAATGAAAGGAATACTTACAACTACCTTTTTTTTTTTGGAGACAAGGTCTTACTATTGCCTTGTTATACCTGAAGCAGTAGAAGAGAGAAATACCAGCACAGATTTCAAATTAAGCAAGGGTTCTTTATTGATTGGCTGGGCCGAGAGCGGGCTCATGCCTCAAAGTCTCTTGACCCCTAGAAGCAGGGGTGGAAACCTTTTATAAGGGGCTTTCGGGAGGGGAGGGAGAGTCCTTAAGCCGAGTTTGACAAGAGCCAATACCTGGTAAGGGGAGTCCTCACAAGGGGAAGCTGAGGTTTTGCAGTACTAAACTCTTTCAGCTGAGCTTCCTGTCCTAAAGGGGAGTGTTGAAAGCCCCCAGCAAGATGTAGTTGGGGCATAACATTCCCCCCTGCTCTTATGTCTGAGTCAAACCCTTGACTCTTTGTCTGAGTCTTGTTTGCCTACCCCTACATAATATGGGAGTCAGGGTTGTAGACATAACCAACAACCAAAAGCTAAATCTAGTTGAGTTACATTTAAAGATGATGCATACCATTTAACATACTTAACAGAATGGAAAGCATACAAGTAGCACCTGAATTATAAAAACATTGCTTTCTATTTTCCTATTCTCCACTTTCCCAAAAAGAAAACCATCTGCCAATCTTCTAAATAATGGACTTATCCTACCAAAAATTATTATTATCGTGCCATAAGCAATAGAGGAAAAAAACTACCTTGCTCTTCAGGTGAGAGGTCACTATCCTCCTCTCCACTGCTTTCTTGTTCCCGAACCCGATACTTTAGCTCCGAACCTTCAGCAGCAGCTAATCTATACAACAACCATTTACAAATAAATTAACACTTGTCATTCTTGTATTGAGAGTCTTATTTAACTTTTGAGCCTCATAAATAAAAATCTAAACATCATTAATATGCTAACTTGATGAGGAAAATAAAAAGCAAAATAGAAATGGATGTAGAAATCAATAAGCAACAAGAATAGCAGAATGGGTGCTAAAATCAATAATGGCAAAGGAAGAAAGCTTTTATTTTATGAATTTACTAATTTGCCTTTCTCACCCCTATCTCCCCCACTTCTATCTTTAAAACACAAGTGGCTGGCTTGGTGTCTGTAGCACAGTGGTTATGGCACCAGCCACATACACTGAGGGTGGCAGGTTCGAACACGGTCCCGGCCAGCTAAATATCAATGACAACTGCAACCAAAAATAAAACAAACAAACAAAAAAACACAAGTGGCAGGGCATTTTATTTTTATTTATTTACATATTTATTTTTTGAGACAGAGTCTCACTATGTCACCCTTGGTAGAGTGCTATGGCATCATAGCTCACAGCAACCTCAAACTTTCGGGCTTAAGTGATTCTCTTGCCTCAGCCTCCCAAGTAGCTGGGACTACAAGGCGCCCACCACAATGCCCAGCTATTTTTTGTTGTAGTTATCATTGTTGTTTTGAAGGCTTAGGCCAGGTTCAAACCCACCTGCCTCAGCATATGTGGCTGGTGCCCTAACCACTGAGCAATGGGTGCTGAGTGATGGCAGGACATTTTAAAAAACCCACAGGGAAGGGCGGTGCCTGTGGCTCAAGGAGTAAGGCACCAGCCCTATATACTGGAGGCAGCGGGTTCAAACCCGGCCCTGGCCAAAAACTGCAAAAAACAAACAAAAAAAAGAAACTCTCAGGGAAGAGACATACTTTAGTATCCGAGGTTCAGATACCCTAATCTTCCTGCTACCTGAATACCTTGATCATAATCAAGAAACAAGATCATAAAAGTTGCTATGAGAAATCTAGATAAACTTACTCTTTTATTTATTTATACTTATTATACGAGTAATGAAATAAATGTAAAATGCCTTTTACTTTGTACAGCTAAAAACAGCACAAGTGAAAACACGTTCTAGTCATCAGTACTTACTTCTTAGCTAAGATATCTGGTGTCACAGGTTCAGCGGTCTCTGTATCACTATGTGCATCTTCATCATCACCTATCATACTAGGATGACACGCACATTGTAATTAATACTTGAGATGTAATCTTTCAACAAGAAGTAGCAGGCAGAAAAATATAATTCTATCAGCCTTGTTTAAAACATCAATATATTTATAGCTCTGTCATCATCTTTGAGGTTTAACTTTAGTTTCTATTCAATGCAAATATTTAAAAGCATAGTACCAAGAAAAGACTCCAACTGATTAAAAAATATATAACCATAAAGATAATCTGTCTTCCATATCTATGGATTCATATCCATGGACTACTAACTGAAAATAAAAACTGCAGCTGTATTGAACATGGATGGACTTTTTTCTTGTCACTATTCCAAACAATACAGTATAACAACTGTTTACACAGCATTTACATTGTATTATGTATTATAAGTAATCTAGAGAATACATATTCAAGGGGATGTGCATAAAGTTATATGCAAATACAAAGCCTGTCTGTATCAGGGATTTCAGTGTCTGTGAATTTTGGTATCTGAGGGAGGTTTTGGAACCAATTCCCCATGGACATTAAGGGACAACTGTATGGTGATCATGTGAAAAAAATAAAAATACTATAAAGTTTGATTCCATCAAATGGGAGGGAATAAGTAATGCAAAGCGGCTCGGTGCCTGTGGCTCAAGCGGCTAAGGTGCCAGCCACGTACACCTGAGCTGGCGGGTTCAAATCCCCAGCCCGGCCCGCCAAACAACGATGGC